GTAAATGATATTTTATTATGTATACTACTATTTTTTTAGGAGTCCGTAACCAGTACTTTAAAACCAAAATTAAGTGGCAAATAAGTTTTTGAAGCAGCAATCCCCATTTTTTATCAGTCACGCCACCAGCATCATAGGAGTTAATTAACTTTGTTTCAGTCATCAACATCCTCTGTCTCTGGAAAAAAAACATACTTTAGAATAAAAATGGCCATTTTAGATCAAAGAGGGGAGGTCTAAAATGGTTAAGATACAGCTATTACATCCTTTTACCAAGTTGACAATTTTTTTTCAGCCTGTGCTTTTGTACATTGTTTTATTGACCCATTCAGACAACAGCGAGCCTTTACGCTAGTCAGGGAGCATGTATCAGTATTAAAAATAATGGGTTTATTATGTTCCATCTCTCGGGAAACATGTTCCTGAGCATGAGACATTCCAGATAAATATCTGATCTGATGTTAAATACTATTGTGGACCTTCAGACTAAGTAGAGAGAGACAAATAAGAGAAATTATCCTGAAAGATAACCAGACTCCCTCATGAATTATTCTAATTTGTAAAAAAAAAAGCTATACGGACTTCAGAAAGCATTCCTCACTGCATGAGAACCATTTCTAATGCTCAGTGGTTCTTAAGACACAGCTTTCACATTTGGCTGCAATTCTCTGAGTCTTCACTATGAGACCTGGGCTATTTTAGCTCTAGGTAGTCAATACTTCAGATATGCATTTAGCATCCCTATTTTTTTGAGACAACAATCAGTGTTCGTCATGTAAGAAAATATATAAACATGCGAAAACCCTACTAACTAACTAGCGTTACAAAATCACAAGTCAAAGAAATCCCCCAAGTAGGCTTACTTAGATGGCACGAAGATGCTAAAACCAAATCGAACTGAAGCATCTTACGTGGTGCCTCAGAAGTTCCCGTATATTCCACTGGTGGGGTTATGCTGCCACCTATTGTGAAGATGAACTTAAAGAGACTCATTTCGTTTTGCTAGGCGACATATTTGCAAGAATTACCGCTTGTCTTTCTCTTTTTTTTTAATTAACTTTCTTCCTAAATATCTGCTCCTGATCATTGCTGGAGACGGGATGCAGGCATAGGTGGACTTGCGGCCTGTCCAAATGCAGCTGTTCGTACATTTTGATCTCTAATCTACGCCAATGTGCAGCAATGTACAGAACTCGACTGTCTGCAGCTGTTAGCTCAAAGGCTGGATCAAAACTAGCACCCCGTTTCTCTACCCTGATTAGGAGCCAAGGCAGAGGCAGCACGCTCTCCCCGCAGAAATGCTTTAGGATGTGTGTTTCCTTCCTCCCTTGTCAGAGGAGCACAGGACTGTACGTTCGTACCTGGATCCTGTCCACGTGAGTGAGACAGCACTTGAACTCTAGTATAAACTCAGGACTACGTGTTTAGGACACCTCTTCTTCCCCACAAGCACAAGTGCAGTTCATGTACCCTTTATATATATTGTGCTCAATACTAGCAGCCGTAGTTACCAGCCCTGAGCAGGAAGCACTATTGCCCCAAGCTGCTTTTTTGTGTGCACGGAATTGAGGCAACCTTATTTCAGGAGAGCAGCCGCAGGAGGCCCAGGTCAGCACACCTCTACAGGCAGCCATGAGCAAAACTGAAACAAATTACGATGGTACTTCCATCTCTCTACAACTAGAGTAGCTTGGCACTGGTCGAGTTTCGCAGTTCTCATTGTACCTTTCTGCACCTTCTACTTTCCATCTACCTTGGCATGACATATATGCCCTCTGCTCCTTCACCTCTTCAAGAGTATCAGCTAAGTCATGATCTAGGCATTAAGCCACCCCGCCATCCTAAGGTCGCTTAGCTGGGAAAATGAGGCCATCTGTTCACTCATAAGCAAGCAGTGTGCATCATCGCATTCCCTTATGCTCTCATCTTTCCAATCCTCTCCATGCCCAACTCATTGTTCACTTTGTCTTCCAGCTTTAGGAACCAAACAGTTTGTACAAACAACAGGTTTCTATCCGCAGCAGCACTGCGGCAGGCAATACAAACCAGGAGCCGTGCAGTACTTGGGAGTCACTCCTGGGCAGCTTGGAGAGCTGCTCAGGCCAACCAGCTAGTGGGATTTTCTCATTTATCTTTAGGGCATTCAACTGTTCCCAAGCCACTCAGTAGGACAGAGAAACTCTCTCTTGAGCTGCAGTTGTAGCTGAACCTGATCACCCACATATTAGTGGTGTAGCCAAAGAGGACAGCTAGGTATGAGTGCTGTTAGGTCTGTTAGGTCTCCAGCAGAGCAAACATCAGAAGAACGAGGCATTTTATACTGTTTGCTGTGCCAAAGGGTATGCATTTTTAAATCAATAGATTCAACCAGGATCTACTAAAGTCAGGGTTGCTTGCAGCATGCACAGATGGTGTCAGTCAGACAAACGAGAGTATCAGCAACTCAGATGGCACAGTAAATAGCAGATTTAATTTTCAGAGTCATACGATAATTCACAAATTCCTTGGACAGGTGTACGCACTCCCTTGTGTCCAGGGAGGGGACACAAGACGTGCAGAAATGGAAGCTGTATAGTGATGTCTTCATGACACCTGGGTTTCAATTCCCCCCCATTGTTATGGGAGTCGCCTGAAGAAAAGAGGTTGGGTTCACTGGCAACTTCGAGCCCTGTCATCACATTAGTTGGTTTCTCAGGAAGTCGGTTGTTCTGGGTAGTAAGCTGGGATAAAGAGCTAAGACAGTCTGTGGTCCTCAGCTCTGTAGATAAGCTGCTGCGACACTGTCTACACAGTGAAGTGAGGTGACAGAGCAATTAGGACCCTTCTCTTTCTCAGTAGTACCCAAGCACATTCGGGTACTACATTCATATCAGACCCTTCAGCTGTAATCTGCTCATTTGTAAGCTTCCCTACTCCCAGAAACTCCTGTTGTCCTTCCATCTATTTTAGCAGACAGAAGATCTCACTTTCCAGTTACTACTTGCCTAGCACGCACATTATATGCATTGCAGTCAAAAAAAGCATGTTTAAACTGGGTTTTTGCCCAAATCCAGGAGCCATCAGAATATGACATAGGCTTAACTGTTCTGAAAGAGCTTAGGTCAAAGTCCTGGGTCTATCACACAAGGTCATCCTCTTTCTCCCAAGAGATCTATCTATCTTAAAGAAGTTGAAATCAAGAGACAGTATGCTGACTTCAGATATGAGACTGACCTTACCTTAAGTCAAATACTCTAAGCTTTGTCTTAGAAGGGACAGATTCCAACCAAAATGGTAGCTTGTCAAAACCTTCCGCCATCCCATCCCTATACCCAGAGGCAGTGCATCACACTTACTTCATTGTTCTCGGTGATAAAGGACAGTACTTGCACACAGATACTTTTTTTCTTTTTTTTATTGCTGTTAATTCAAGGAAAAAGGTTGCATAAAATCCAATCTCTTCTAGAAATATAAGTGACCTTTCCAGTACATTTCAAATATCAAAGTATATGGTAAACATACAAATAAAGAGAAGGTAACATACCTCCTATTTACAGTACAGTATTTTAAATCATAAAATAAGTTCCATAAAGTACAACTGGCAGGTAATTCACAATACAAGTCCATTCGTGGTTTAACACCCTCACTTCAACTCAAACGCAGTTCATTCATTTCAAGTGGTCCAAAAATACCCAGATCAAATAAAAATTTTAATCAAAATAATTTTCATTTACTACTTAAACTTTTTTTTTTAAATTAAAGCTTTCATCTACCTCCCTCCCCATTCCCCCCCTCCAAGAAAAAAGTTTCAAAATGTACACTGGTGCTATAAATATAAATGCTACCTATGAAGAAATGTAGTAATCAAGCTTTTTTTCTTCAAGTTTTTTGTTTGTTTAGCAATTTATTAGATGGCTGAACGAAAGATTGATTTTATTTCATCCCTCTACTGGACACCAGGTCTCATTTTAAGAAAAAACATTTCTGCCATGAACTGTGAGGAATGCCAAACCCTATGGATATACAGTGGTAGTTGTTCATCGGTGTTGAATGCAGCAGTCAAAAAATACACTCATCTTCCAGATAACCTCAGTGCACTTTAGGAAATCAAATATTACCTGGAAGCAATTTAGTACATATATTGGCTTTTAAAAATAAAATAAAAAATACAGCAGCATTAAACTTACTTACTCATGATACTGACATGATTAATACCATCTTAACACTCATTTCAGTCTTTCACATTATACCGTAATTACGTATAGTGGTAAATTGTTATAAAATAGTGACTTTGCTATTTGGTAGACAGGTTCTAATACTAATACCTGACTATTTTGTAGAAAACCATAGCTTTTGTTCAGTTTGAAATAAAACATTTACATTCTAAGTACAATGCAACACTGTAATAGTTTAGGAAAAAAATATTCAATCAAGTAATGTTCATTCTGTGTTGACACGATGTAGAATAGCTTTAAAAAAGGAAAAAATGCTGTCAACTTTCATTACAAATGCAAACACACTGAGTACAACATTCATACCATTTTTTTCACTTTTGTTGCTGAACATACAGGCTAAAAAGCTACAATGGAAGAAAAATCCGTCAATTTAAGCTCATTCATTTTTCTGTTCCAGTCCACACAGTTTCAGCCCCTTCCTGCTCTACGTATTTTTATTTATTTGGGACTCTCAAGAGCTGTGTATATGTATTATTATCAGATATAGTACACATACAGTATTGTGTGTTTCCTTTGGACTCTCCTAATAGGACGTTTGAACATCTCCCCTCAATTCATGAGCATTAATTTAGAGTATGGGCAGGGTCTGTATGAACTGCTAAACACTCATGCAAGTCCAACGAATCCACGTGGACAAACAGGGAAAGAAAATAAAACAGCAGCATAAGGAGAACAGGGAGGGAGGGAAGAAGATTGTGGTGGGGAACATGACCAAGTTTCTTCTTTCACCATATGGCTGCTCCACCAGTGATGTCAGAGGTCAGAGGACTTTTTTTTTTTTTTTAAAAATGCAGTAAACATTGCACATGTCTCAAGTCTTCAGTGCAAAAGCATGGTTCGAATGCTCTTTTTGATTGTTTGGCTGTGTGTTTGAATTACATGCAATTACGCAAGCCTTTTGTAGAACCAGGAGGAGACCAGGGGCTCAGCTTTCTTCTTTTGTATGGAACAGAGGTGCAAAAGCAATGAAAAATTCCAAAAGAATATAGAACCGGGAATGTCCCAAAACACAAGATCAACCCCCCCCCCTCCCACACACACCTTCCCCCAATTTCCCAAGCTTCAGTTTAAGTAGGCAATGTTTACTTGTTTCAGTCTGCAGAATCCAAGGTATCATTGGAAGGGGGAGGGGGAGGTGCGTATCTCAGTCTGTAAGTGCCTAAAACAGGAAAGAGAACTACTAAGTCACTGCTCACAATTAAAATGGATTACAAAACCACCACAAGGTATCAAAATGGACATGCTCTTCAAAAGGCACTATCATCCTCCAGTCCTTTTAAAGTAGGTCCTAAGATTTTATACTATTTTCTTTCATCTGCTTGCTAAAACTGTAAGTTTAAAAAAGATATAGACCGTAGATATAGGACTTTACCTTTACTGGAAAAATGCAAAGAAAAGACGACCCCCATCAAGGTTCATCCTTCCTGTTCCAGTCCAACCAAACAAGTAAAGTCAGCATGGGCACAGGCCAAGAATCAAAGATAGTTTATTCTCTATGCAAACACTGCGTTTTCTCCATTCTTCCGGGTGGAGAGAGAAATGGCATATAAGACTGAAGCCATTCCTTTGATTTTTAATTCCAATTGTTTTCTGCCTTTTTGCTGCAACTTGTCTGAAAACTTAAAGCATGTTTCATTTATGTATTGCATGATGGGGACAGAAGGATGGCTGATTGTGCAAAGGTAAGCTTTAGAAAAGTTAAATTATCAAATGGCCGGTCTGTTGGTTTTTTTTTAAATTCTCACAATTTTTAAGAATCCAAGTTCGTATCATAGACAGTAATTGCTATCTTTCACTTTTTGCCAATGAATTCTCTCCAAAAAAACACTGAACAGGAATAGAAAAATTGAAACAACATGCAAGTCTCAACACAATGCCAAAAACCAGTGAAAAAAAAAAAATGACAATTCAGGACTGATATAGTTTGACTTCCCAGCTCTGAATCATACCCATTTTCAACTTCACGCTGTGAACCCCGTTCCCTTGCACTGTTCTACAAAATTCTCAGGCAGAGATAAGATACTTCGCAGTTTTAGAGCAGGTCACTAGTGCACAACCATTTACACAAAACATACACACGCACGCACACCTTTCTGCAGACCAGAAACAGCACATTCAGAAAGGTAAAGAGAATCTGCTAAACTCAAAAGCAAGTCCGCTGGGAGTTATCATGATTACCTTGTTGACTGGCCTCCATGGATGACTGCTTACAGTCCTGCGCATAGTGTCCACTTACACCACAATTGTAACATGAAACGTTCCCATTCTTCTTGGGTCCCGACCCATTTGTGTTGGCAACTACGTTAGGTGCTGGATATACAGGATAGAACCTCCCAAATCCTGCCATCTGCTGCATACCATAGTTGGCTTGGCTCCCCATCACTGGGTCATGCATAAGCCCGTTTGCATATGGAGACTGAGGCAGGAAGAAAGGAAGTTGTGTTCCATTGCTTTGATGTGCTTGATTGAGGTAGCTGCCATTGCAAAGTGATGGCAGAGTGAAGAAAGATGGAACTCTGTAGACTTGTCCATGAAGTGGATTATGATAAAAATAGCTATTAATCTGAAGGCTTCCATTGGTCCCACAGCTACACCTACGTCCGCAAGAACCGCAAGGACCAGATCCCAACTGCTGTGGAGGTAACATTGTCCCATTAGTGTTATTATTTCCAACAGCATTTATGTAGGATGTGCTGTCACTCTGTGCAGTGCTGTGTGTTAAAGCAGGGCTCGGGCTAGGGGCAGGGCCTGGCGTATGCGTAGGTATTGCAGGAGGAACAGTGGACTGGACCTGACCAACACCTAAACCAGCTGACTGAGGTGGTGAGGAAGTCGCTACAGTGTTTAGCACGTTTGTATTCTGGTTGGGCAACACACTGGTAGCATGAGGACTGCCTGGCAAAGCGTATGAAGCTGGTGGAGGTGGCGGTGCTGCTGTGGAGAGGCCAGCTGCTGGAAGAACTACCTTTAGATTGGTAGGCTGAGGGATTGCTCCTGGGTTTCCCTCAATGTGAGGCACCATTTGATTCAGTCCTACCACCTGGGATGCAGGTTTTGTGATGGGATCTGTAGTAGGAACTGGGGATCCTGGGAAACTACCTGGATTGTGGACTGGGATAAAGGCAGTATTTGGTGATCCAACACTTAAGTTTCCTGTCGGCTGCTGCGGTCCATTAACTGTGCAACTTTCCGATGATCCCTGTGGAGAGGGCATTTTCAATCTATGTATTGCCAAATGCAAAGCAGGGCTACCAGGCTGGACAGAATGTGGAAGGAAAGTGGATGGGACTGGCAAAGGGGAAGCCATCAGCTCAAGGCGTTTCTCAGGTTCACCAGAGGTCACTGGGCCCATTCCACCAGGAGGTGAATTTGCAGACTCTCTCACCGGCGAGACAGCAACAGGCGTGGTAACAAGCATTCCCATTGTTTTACCATCTGCAGATATGGGTGGTGGGACAACTGCTTCAGGCTTTTGGGCAGCGCTGTGCATCACACAGTGTAAGGCAGGCATGAAGGAAATATGTTGAAACTTTGCATTCAAAGGATCTTCTGAAAGGCTTCCATTTTCATTATTCACTGAAGAGATCTGAGCAGACGATTTGTTCATATTTGATGAACTGACAGCACTGTAGCCTGTATACCTGGTTGTATTTTGATTCCCAGAGTCCTCAGAATTGCTGTCTGTATCTGTGGAGACAAAAGCATTTGTCAGAGTCAGAAGAACGAATCTGAAACAATATAGTCATGTCCTGGACTCATTTACTCATATAAAACTTCCTAAGTTTGATGATGCAAATTATAGTTATGTCTTCCCAACAAGAATAACTTTGACATTATTTTCATTCATGCAAATCAAGCTAGGTTAATCTCCATCACTTGCCTATATCAAACCGCCCAACTAGCTACTGTGTCTTTGACTTGTGTACATCTGCAAATGGGAAGCATAGGACAAAGACCGAATTAGGAATTTGCATCCGCCTAGAAAGACATTAACACAGCTTACTGAAATTTGCAAGCAGTGGCAAATTAAACTGTCAACACAAAAAGAAGGACCTCTCAGACACATAACTCGATATAAAACCGGTCCCTTTCATGCCAAAGTTTACTGTACTGCTGAAATTTCTCAAGAGAGCTATGCCACTGAGGTCAGAAAATTACTACATGTATGTAGTAATCTAAAACTCAATGGTATTTAAACAGTCCTGCTATTTGCTAGCCTTCAAAATGTCCAGTCACGAAACCCACAAAGCAAAATGTGTTCTGTGGCTAGCTCAGAGACAAAAGCAGCTAATAAAACTGAGAAACTAATTAAAATTAATACAAGAAAGAGACTAGTCTAGGAATAAAGACGTTCATGCACGCTATCCATAAATACCACCTCTGTCTTTTTCTTCTTCACTATCAAAGCTTTCCCTCCCATCATGTCGTGGACTAGAAGGAGAACTGTAACTTTCAGATGATGTTTCTCCACATGTGTCATGACCAGATCCAGCGTCCAAATTCAGATCTAAAATAAAAATTGGCATTTTTATTTTTAATCTCAGTATATGGAAGTGAGGATAATTTGGTTTGCTCACATCTCACACTAGTTCAGATTTTTGTTTGTTCCTACTTAATTGCATCTGTCCCCTATATTCGCAACATTTCCACTCCCAGCAGTAAGGACTGGTCTTGTGCCTAAATTTGCAATGACCGAATCCTTGGTGTTAAAGAAGGTGACACTGAAAATTGATATTTATGCAGAGTAGTGAAAAGAATGATCATCCTTAATAGATTTTGTGATGCTTATACCAAATTGTATTACAATAATAATTTCCTCTGAATGGTAGCGATCAAATATTTCCATCCAAAGAGATGCAATACTCCTTGGTCATACCAGCAAAGCCAGAAAGCTAAC